CAAAGGATATTTCAGAGTAAAGACTATTGCCAAGAATAAAGACTGTGATTTGATAAAGATAAAGGGATCAAGTAGTCAAGAGGACACAAAGATACTTAATGTTTCTTCATCTAATAACAGAACTTTAAGATACATAAGACAAAACCTTTAAAAAAAAAAGGCAAAATTGTAAGGAGAAACAGGCAAAATCCATAACTATAGTCAGAATATTCAACCGTCTTCTCTTAGTAATAGGACAAGTTGACAGAAAAAATCAGCAAGAACACAGAGGAATTGACTCAAATACCCATCAGTTGAAGACTGGATACACAGAATGTAATATATTCATACAATGTAGGATTATTCAACCATAAAAAGTGATGAAATAATGACATGTGTTAAAATACTATGCTAAGTGAAAGAAGTCAGTCATAAAGGACACATATTATATGATTCTATTTATACAAAATATCCAGAATAGTCAAATCTATAGAGACAGAAAGTAGAGTAGTGGTTGCCAGCTGTTAGGACAGAATATTTGTGTCCCGGCAATTCATATGTCAAACCTAATACCTAATGTGATGGTATTTGGAAGTGGGACTTGGGGAGGAGATTAGGTCATAAACACGATTAGTGCCCTTATAAAAGAGATCTCAGAGAGCTCCCTCCACCTGCCACCATGTGAGAGCACAAAGAGAACATGGTGATCTAAGAACCAGAAAATTCTCTCACCAGACTCTCACCAGACACTGAATCTACTGACAACTTGATCTTGGGACTTCCCAAACTCTAGACCTGGGAGAAATAAATGTGTGTTTAATCTATACTTTTTGTTAACAGCAGACTGAATGAAGACATCAGGAAATGAAAGAAAGGAAAACGGGGAGTGACTAACCAGGGAACTTCTTTTAGGGATGATGAAAATGTTCTGGAATTAGTGATGATATTTGTACAACTTTGATAATATACTGAAAACCACTAAATTATATGCTTTAAAAAGGTAAAATCTGTGGTATGTAAATCGCGTTTCAATTAAAAAAATATATAAAGGACTTGAACCATACTGTCAACCACCTTGAGATAATTAGAATTAAATGACATTTATAGCATGATACATTCTTTTCAAGTTCACATGAAACAGTTACCCAGATAAACCCTATTTTAATCCACAGAATAAATTTTAAATCTAAAAGAATTCAAATCATATAAGATAGGTTCTCTGACTACTAAGAAAAATACTTGGAAAATAAACATTTGTAAGTTAGATAACAAGCTCCTAAATAACCCAAAGTTCACAATAATAAAAAGGGAAGTTAAAAACTATTTTGTACTAAATAGAAATAAAAACAGGTCAAGGGACGCCTGGGTGGCTCAGTTGGTTGGGCGGCTGCCTTCGGCTCAGGTCATGATCCCAG